AACAGATCCTGTTTACAGCCCCATTTTGGTTTTCACCAGTCTGGGTTACTACTTGCAGAGTGATCCCAACATCCTCCCAGTTATGAAACTTCCCAAAATCACAGACAATTTAGTAATATAGTTCATTTGCTTCTTTAAGGAAACAGAACACACCAGTTTGTTACATTAAAAAATTGGAGCTGACATTCACTTTAGCACAAACACAGGCACCATTGGTTCAGATAAATAATTTTGAATAGATTTTAAGCATTCCATTTTGTCAGGAAATGGGTGAGAGAGGCAGGTCACGTGAAGTTAGCCTGTTGTCCAGGATACTGGACTAGATGGACCATTGGTCTGATCCTGTATGGCTATTCTTATGTTCTAAGCAAGTTCAAGAATAAGAGATGAGATTAAATATGGCCATAATAAAAAAAAGTGAAAATAAATTTCTAAAACTTATTTTAGTAAGTTTTGGTTGAAGGCTTTGTTCAAGAAGGCCTTTCTCATTTTCAGTCTTCTAGCAAGATGGTGACTTATTCTCTTGTTGGTCAGGATCTCTTCCCGAGGCCAGAGATCCTGGTGCATTTGTCATCTTAGAGGAAAGTGATAACTTGGTGTTCTCAGACCCTTTCTTTTATAGTCCACTAAATTTCTGAAATGGATTCTCTTGAACAATTGAAAAGTTTATTCAAATTGTGGAGGGCGGCAACGTGGAGTTTGGTGGTAAAAGAAGTTCCAGGCTTTTTCTTCCCCCACCTGTGTTTGCTGAAATGCAAATTGTTCTGTTTCCTGTCATGTCCTCCCTCAGCTGTCTCAATGAACCGGTTTACTACTAAACATAAACTGTGATAAACACACATTCTTTTGTTTAAGGATAGACAACTTTTTCCTTAGCAGAGCTGTCTGGTTTTACACATTTGCGAATATCATCCTACAGAAGGGATTCATCACTTTACATGTAATGTTGCTATATAAATTTCACCATAATATTATTGACCAGCAATTTATTTGTTTTCAAATGATTCCTCACAAGGATTATTATTGCAGTGTTGTGTAGGGTAGGGGCAGGCAAGATGCAGCCTGGAGGCTGGATCTCGCCGACCAGGCCTTTTAATCTGACACGACCTTTCAGTACGAAGCAGCACTGCTCAAAGCAACTAGCTGCTCCCTGTGGCTCTCTGTGTTCTGGAGTAAGGGGGAGAGGCTTTGCACATTGTCCCTGACCCCAGCAAAATCTCTCAGCTCCTATTGGCTGGGAACTGGTCAATGGGAGCTGAGAGATTTTACTGGGAGCAGGGGACAGGATGCAAAGCCTCCCACCCTGCAGCGCTGAGAGCTGCATGGAACAGCCACCTGTGGGCTGCTAGCAAGCAGGGAAGTCTGCTTGAGAGTGCTGTTGGCTGGGAGCGGCTTAGGTAACTATATCCAGCCAGAGGCTGCCTCTGGCATCTCACCTCCTCCCTCGCAGACCCTAAACCTCCTCCTATTCCCATCCCCAGGCCACAATCCTCTCCTGCACCCCAGCACTCTGCTTCCCATGTTACAATTCCCTCCTAGACTGTGCACCAAATCCTACATCTCTCCCCCAGGCCAAAATCCTCCCCTGTGCCCATACCCCTCTCCCAGATCCTGCATCCCAATTCCCTGCCCCATGTCACAACCCTCTCCTTCACCCAAACTCCCTCTCAGACCCCATACTCTCTCCTGTCCCCCAGCCCCTTACCACAAACTCTTCCTTCTGCACCTAACCTCTTTCCCATATCCCACACTTCCTCCATGGAAAAGTGCAGCCCTTGACTACTTACCAAAATCTTGGAGTTGCCCCATATCAAAATTTATTGCCCACCCCAGTGCAGGGTATGTTTTCAAATGCTACTCCATGAAGTATATTATAGTCATATGTAGCATATGAACACATGGGTGCTTTGGGTAATAACACTCATGTATATTAATGAGGGACTAGACTTCTGAGTCTTTCTTGCATTGGACCGAAAGTTACTACTAAGCAAGAAACTAGGACATGTCTATTTATGAATTTACTATTAGAATGGACAGTTCTCAGAGTTTTGTTATCCATTGAATAGAGCTATGCATAACAAACATAAAATACTGTTTAAAAATGTATTTTCAGGTTTATTGAACTCCAGATACGGTAGAGGTTGGACAGAGCATCGTAAATTAGCTGTAAACAGCTTTCGTTGTTTTGGATATGGTCAAAAGTCCTTCGAACACAAAATTTCAGAAGAATCCATGTTTTTTCTTGATGCCATTGATACATACAAAGGCAGACCTTTTGATCTTAAGCACTTGATAACAAATGCAGTCGCAAACATTACTAATTTGATTGTCTTTGGAGAACGTTTTACATATGAAGACACTGAATTTCAGCACATGATAGAGATATTCAGTGAAAACATTGAATTGGTTGCTAGTGCTTCTGTGTTCTTGTATAATTCTTTTCCTTGGATTGGCATATTACCCTTTGGAAAGCACCAACAACTGTTTAAGAATGCAGCTGAAGTCTATAACTTTTTGCGTGAACTTATTGAGCGCGTCTCTAAAGACAGGAAGCCCGAGTCACCTCGACATTTCATTGATGCATATTTAGATGAAATAGATCAAAGTGAAAATGATCCAGAGTCTACATATTCAACCAAAAATTTAATTTTCTCTGTTGGAGAACTTATTATAGCTGGAACAGAAACCACAACAAATGTTTTAAGATGGGCAGTGTTGTTTATGGCTCTTTATCCAAACATTCAAGGTAAGAATTTTTGCCATTTTTGAGGCACTGATAGTGTAGGTCCTGTGGTGTGAATCTAGAATGCATTTTAAAAAGTTGTGTTGGAATTGCTAATACTAATCCTTACTAAAAATAAAAATGTGTGTGTTTAGCTACATTATGTCCCTTTCTAAATGTGTTGTAGATATGTCAGTATTTTATCTGCAGCTAAAATGGGTATCAAATTAACATTAGGATAATATTTAAGGTTTTTTTTTTTTAAACAATTCAATGAACTTTTTTGTTTAAATAAAGGAAAGATTTACCTTTATGGATAGGCTGAATAATATGACGACTCAGAATACTGGCTGGCAGAAAAACACAAACATCAGCAAAAAAGTGTAAATCAGTTTTTGGGTAACTGTTTTTAAACCATTTTTAATCCTTAAGTGTATCAATCCATAACAGCTTTATGTACTGTGTGTGTAATATATATAAGGGAAAAAAGACAATATGAGCATTTTAAAACATAACGGCTACGTCTACACTGGCCCCTTTTCCGGAAGGGGCATGTTAATTTAAGAAGCCGTAATAGGGAAATCCGCGGGGGATTTAAATATCCCCCGCGGCATTTAAATAAAAATGTCCGCCGCTTTTTTCCGGCTTTTAAAAAAGCCGGAAAAGAGCGTCTACACTGGCCCCGATCCTCCGGAAAAAAAGCCCTTTTCTGGAGGATCTTATTCCTACTTTGAAGTAGGAATAAGATCCTCCAGAAAAGGGCTTTTTTTCCGGAGGATCGGGGCCAGTCTAGACGCTCTTTTCCGGCTTTTTTAAAAGCCGGAAAAAAGCGGCGGACATTTTTATTTAAATGCCGCGGGGGATATTTAAATCCCCCGCGGATTTCCCTATTACGGCTTCTGAAATTAACATGCCCCTTCCGGAAAAGGGGCCAGTGTAGACGTAGCCAACCAGTAATACCTTACACACACCATATAGGCCTTACAAAAAGTAACATCCTTATCCCCTTTAACATTTCATCTTCCCCAAAACATCATCTTCCAACAGAAACTAGTGTGACAAGGTGTCAAGGGGGCAAGCCCTCACCGTGCCTCAGTGCCCCCTGACTGTCCTCATCTAGCCCCTCTCAGGGCAAGTTACAGTCTGTATGGGTTGCTCATCATTGGCATTGGGTTGTCTCCACTGTCCTGCTTACCTAGTCAGCTTCATGATCCACCTGCAAACCAGGGCTTTGTCTCCACCCCCTAGCCAGGGGGACTCTTGGCTAGCCCTCTCCCAGTCCTTGGCTGCCCCTCTCCCAGCACTTGCTGGCTAGCCCCCAGCTTGCCTCCCTACTAGGAGCTCCTGCTTCCTCCACTGGCTCCCCCATAAGCAAACTGGGCTTCGCTATTTATAGCTTCCAGCTGGGCTCTCCCCGCCAAACGGGCTTCTCTGTATATCTGGCAGCTGGGCTCTCCCTCACCCTAATGGCTTCAGCTGGCTGCTCTGTTACCAGCCCTAGCTCAGGGTCTGAGTCCTGGTCTTAAAGGGCCAGTGCAGGGCAGGCACCCTGTCACTCAGGGTCAGATCTGAAGGTTACAAAAAAGTATTGTGGAGGAAGTATATAAGTCTTAGACCGAGGAGATCTCTGTTCCCAGGGTAACTGGGAGGGCTGATCTAGAACCAGCAGAGGCAATCAGACAGCTGAACCCTTGGGGCTAATTGACCACACCTGCAGAATCAGGGCAGTCTGGGCTAATTAGGAAAACTAGTTGAGACTGGCTATAAAAGGAGCTTGCCCCCCCCCCCCAGTTGGTGGTGGTGGGTGTGTGTAGCTAAGAGGAGGGAGGAAAATGTTGCCGGGAGTAGGAGGAAAATAGACAGTAAGTGGGCATTAGGAAGATGAACCAGGGAGAAGGAAGGTTCTGGGGAAGGTGTGAGGAAGTATCCTCAGGTTTTGGAGATATCATGTAGCAGGTGTCGGGGACTCACAAAGGCAGCTGCTATTACAAGTTCCTGGGCTGTAACCTGGAGTAGAGGGTGGGTCTAGGTTCCCCCCAACACCCACTTCCCCATTCCCACTCAGGGAAAAAGGGCTTTGAAGTTTATTCTCTGCCTTTATCATATGCTGGCTAATGATGAAAAGAGTTTAACAGCAAACTAGCACACTCGGCATGGTGCCTAAAATTGAGGGCTGCTTTGAGCCTCTGAGGCAAGCAAATCCACCAGAAATTGCAGGACCCACCGAGTTTAAGTAGGAACTTTGTTTCATGAGTCACTTCTTGGAGTTGTGTGTCTCTCCCAGATCATTCAGGAGGAACTGTACTTTTAAAACACAAAGCGATCCCTCTTGCCTAAAATTCTCCGGTGGTTTCAATTTCTTTTAGCTCTTGGGAGAAAAATAAGTTCAAGATTCAAGATAAGATTTTTTTAGATAGTAGAAAATAATATTAATACCTTGCATTTACGTAGACATTTTCCATGTGAAGATCAATATATCGAAAATACCAGTTTACAAGAAAAATGCACTAAGGTTCTGGTCTGATCTATCTGTTGCATTTTTTTGGGGATGGGAAAGATTAGTTCTTCGGATGATGTCCCTGTGGGAGCTGTTGGTGATGGGTGGTCCCCGGAGCCACAGTTCAGAGCTTTTCTTAGCAGTTGACAGTTGGGCTGTGCATGCACAAGAGGTGCTTCGCACCACTGACAGTTTGACACCTTGCACAGCAGCCCGACTCCCCCCCTTCAGTTCCTCTTCAACAGCCCTCAGTCACAAATGGAGCTCTAACTTCTCTCGCCTCAGGAGTTTTGTCTATTCACCATACTTGTTACTTAATTGCTTTGCATTCTGGACTATTGCCCTTAATTAACTACTAGTTACAACTTCAAAGAATGAATGGCAAAGAGAAAGAACAGGCTGTCCTAGCCTCCGTCCTGACAGACTGCCACAGCGGCGGCAACTTTAATCTCTCTCAGACTCTGCTTCACTCTCTCAGCTGGGGCTCTTAAAAAAAAATCGGAGTGAGTGAGAAAAGGAGAAAAGTCTTCCACTATTTGATCTGAGAAAGTGGGTCTGGCCCACGAAACTAATCATCTAATAAACCATCTGGTTAGTCTTTAAAGTGTTACATTGTCCTGCATTTTGCTTCAAAAGGAGAATAAGGCAGCCTGAGATTCAATATCTCTCAGCATGCCCACCCCTATGGGTTTTAAGAAATGTTTAAAATGTAATGAGCCCATGCCAGCCTCTGATGGGCATGAGGTATGTATAAGGGGCTTGGGGGAAGCCCACTCCCCCCTGCCCCCCCAAAATGCGACCATTGCAAGAGCCTCACGGCCAGAGCCAGGAAGGCCCGTGAAATGTGGCTCCAAATGATTTTATTTGAAAGGGCGCTGCAACCATTGGATAAGACCGAACCACTGGCAAAGCATGGAGACTTGAAATGCAGGTTTGCGTCTCCATTGCCCCATAAACAGAGCAGGGTAACAGTCTCTTTGGCAAGATCACTGCTGGCAAAGCCATCCCCCAGGCTAACCGCTGGAGACACCTTACACACAGCAGCAAAGTCCACCGCCACAGTTGCAACCCACACTAGCTCGGAGCTGGGGCACATGTCAACGGCACCACACAGGTTGTGCAGGTAGATCATAGCACCGCTGCAGCCGGCACTGCAGCATTCAGTGCTGAGGAAGAGTGCGGAACTGCCTGCTAAGTGGCCCCACAAATCCTCGGCACCGCCTCCTCCTAAGCCATCATCTGCAGAGAAGCCCTCCCCACTGAAGGCTTTAACATAGACAAGGCAGCATAACAGCACAGTTCAAACCGAAGCCAATTTCACCTTAACAGCGGAAACCTACAGCAGTCAGCTGAGCTCCTCCCCCATATCAAAGGGTCCTCCACAGCTAGCTGATTCTTCCAGGTTCACCCTCACATGGCACTAGACCCCTGCTGACACAGAGGAATGTTGCAGTTACTGAATATAATCAGGGGAGTGTTTTCTCCTCTCACCATTCATCCCTAACTACATCTTGTCAATTTCAGCAGTACCATGAAAGACCAATTATTCTCATTGGTACTTGGAATGGCAGTATTCTCCTCCCTAATGCCCTCCCTGGTGGACACAGAGGGACTGTTAGGAGCCATGCAGACACCATCCAAGGAGCACAATTGTCTCACCTAGGAGACTCCCATCAGCCTCTCCATCTCACACCCTCCCACCTTTGCTGGACTCGGAAGAAGATGAGGAGGGTCAAATTTCTGACAGGGAGAGTGTCACACAAGACCAACCGACATTGGAGGATAATTCGTCCCCACCCCTCGAGGACGGTGTAGTACTAGAAACATCAAACTTTTAAAAGAATAGCTACCAGGCAGAAGGTTCAACTCCAAGAAGTAAAAGAGAAACAACATCGCCTCCTAAAGAACATTCGCCCATTCTCTCAAAGAAGGATCACTCTTCCTATTGATGAGGCAGTAATGGAGGTATCCGAAAACATTTGGTGAACACCCACCTCCATCCAATCAACATGTAAGAAAGTGAACATAAAGTACTTTGTTCCCTCCCCCACCCCAAGGACCTGGATTTCCTTTTTTCCCATCCCCAGCCAAACTACTGGTGGTGGATGCAGTGAACCAATGCTGCTCAGATCCAATCTGCAAGGAATGACAAAGAGTACAAGAAGCTAGACATTTTTGGTGGGAAGACCTACTCATCAGCCACATTGCAGCATAGAATAGCAAACTATTCTGCACTGCTAGCTAACCATGACTTCGACAATTACTCTAAGCTGGCTGAACTCATGGAACATCTGCCTGACTCCAAGAGGCCCATTCCCAGGGCAATCATCCATGAGGGACACACTATCACCTGTACTGCTCTACTAGCAGCCATAGATGTTCCTGACACAGCAGCCAGAGCAACGACCACAGTGGTCATGATGAGGAGAGCCTCCTGGTTATGCAGCAGGGTTGCTGAAAGAGCTACAGATGAAAGTGGAAGACCTCCTTTTCGATAAACAAAAGCTGTTTGCAGCGAACACAGATGAGATCCTGCATAGCAGCAAGGACTCTTGCACCACGCTTCGTACCCTTGGCATGTATGCACCACCATACCAAAGAAAGAGGTACACTCCCTACAACAGAAATAGGGACAGCTATTAGAACCGCCCTCATCAAAGGCCATATGAGTACAACTGATACATGCAGCGGCCCCAGAGGGAGCACCCACCTTAGGCACGCTCCTCCGGATCACAGACCACCAAACAGTAGATTTGAGGAATTGATCAAGGGTTTGCCTGACCTCCCTAACCATCCAGTGTCAGTAAGCAGGCAACACATCTTTACCCACAGATTACGTCCCTTTTTCCTGCATTGGGACTCGGTAACATCAGATCGGTGAGTGCAAGAGATCATCCACACATTCTCCTCACGTCCCTTCCCCGCATTTCCCCTCCTCCCCCGTCCCTCTTCAGGGACCCCTCTCACGAGACTCTTCTTAGGCAAGAAATTAACTGCCTCCTCCAGATAGGCGTAGTAGAGAGGTATCCTGTCTGCCGACAGTGGCCAGCACCAGGTGCCCCAGAGAGGGTGGACCGAAGACAGTGATCAAGCGATTTGTCTCCTGCCATCGCTCTCCAGCCTTTGACAAACAAGGGCCAAGGACACCATTTTATCCCCTGGCTAATAGCCTTTTATGGACCTACCCTCCATGAAATTATCTAGCTTCTCTTTAAACTCTATTATAGTCCTAGCCTTCACAGCCTCCTCTGGCAAGGAGTGCCACAGGTGTTGACTACACGCTGTGTGAAGAAGAACTTTCGCTTATTAATTTTAAACCTGCTACCCATTAATTTCATTTGGTGTCCTCTAGTTCTTCTATTTAGGGAACTAATAACTTTTCTTTATCGGCCCTCTCCACACCACTCATGATTTTATATACCGCTATCATATCCCCCCTCAGTCTCCTCTTTTCTAAACGGAAAAGTCCCAGTCACTTTAACCTCTCCTCATATGGGACCCATTCCAAACCCCTAATCATTTTAGTTGCCCTTTTCTGAACCCTTTCCAAGGCCAAAATATCTTTTTTGAGGCGAGGAGACCACATCTGTACACAGTATTCAAGATGTGGGTGTATCATAGTTTTATACAGGGGCAGCAAGATATTCTGGGTCTTATTTTCTATCCCTTTCTTAATAATTCCTAGCATCCTATTTGCCTTTTTGACCGCTGCTGCACACTGTGTGGAAGTTTTCAGAGAACTGTGCACAATAACGCCAAGATCTCTTTCCTGATTTGTCGTAGCCAAATTAGCCCCCATCATACTGTACGTATAGTTGGGTTATTTTTCCCGATGTGCATTACTTTTTACACTTATCCACATTAAATTTCATTTGCCATTTTGTTGCCCAATCACTCAGTTTGGTGAGATCTTCTTGGAGTCCCTCACAGTCTGCTTTCCTACATCAGGAAAAAAGAATAAAGAAGTTGTTACCCTGTTGAACAAACGCTTATGCAATTTTTCAGTGAGAAAGTTGGTGTAAAGGATCTTATTTTTTTTATTCTTAAAAGAAAGCTTGACAAGTGAATAATTTAATGTATATCCCCCCAAAATCCAGAAACCAGCCAACATTGATACTTTTACCATAGTATGCCTATTTCAGGATTCTTAAAATAGTGGGTAATTTTATACAACGTATATAATGTACTACTTTGGGATAATTAGATTAAAAATTAAGTAGTTCTTAAATCTGAATTTGTTATATATAGTCTGCTCTTGTGTTTGATTTTTTTTCTTTTTGTAGCTAATATACCTCACTTTAGCTATGTAGAAAGTGATGTTCATTATTCCAGTTCTGATGAGCTCCTTGAGTGAGGGAACTTACTGAATAAGGAAAATCATAGGAATCGACATTTGTTATGAAATTTCCATTTATTTGAAGCTTGAAAAAACTGTCAGTAGAAGAATGAGAGAACAGGAGGAAATTAAATATTGAAACTATCTACCATACCTGCTTATTAGGTGCTGTATTAAGTAGTAACACTTTTCATGTTTTAAAACAAATAATTTATGTATTTATTCTTTATTATTGAATTTTCAAGTATTGCGCAATAAACTGAAGGGTTTTTTTTCCCCTAACAGGGCAAGTTCATAAAGAAATTGATTTAGTCGTGGGCCCAAACAAAACACCTTCTTTAGAAGATAAATGCAAAATGCCTTACACTGAAGCCGTTCTACATGAAATTTTAAGGTTCTGTAATATAGCTCCATTAGGTATTTTCCATGCAACTTATAAGGATACAGTTTTGCGTGGTTATTCTATTCCTGAAGGCACTACAATAATTACAAACCTCTATTCTGTACACTTTGATGAAAAGTATTGGAGTAACCCAGAAGTGTTTTATCCTGAACGGTTTTTGGACAGCAGTGGGCAGTTTATCAAGAAAGATGCATTCGTTCCTTTTTCACTTGGTAAGAGCTCATGCCTATCACACAGCTATATACAACAGTGTTAAGTGATCCACAGTTAGATAACATGATGTAGAAAAAGATACACATCATTTCTTATAATCTGATGCAGTGTTGTGTCCAAACAGCTCCACTTAGATTTGAAGCATAAATTAACTATTCTTATTAAAAATGGAAGGGCATATGTCATTATTGTAATTTTAAAGATATATATATCTTTTTCATTCAGGAAGAAGACATTGTCTTGGAGAACAACTGGCCAGGATGGAAATGTTTTTGTTTTTTACTTCATTACTTCAACGCTTTCACCTGCATTTTCCACATGCATTGATTCCAAATCTGAAGCCAAAATTAGGCATGACATTACAACCAGAGCCATATCTCATCTGTGCTGAAAGACGTTAAAGCAAATGGGCTAAACTCTCTGCTGCCGTAAATTGGAATAGCTCCACTGAATAAATGGAACTGCACCAATTTACAGCAGCTGAGTATCTGGCCTCATCTTTTATTTATGACTATCTTGCAGGGGTGACAGACTTGCATAATTTTTGGTGGTACCCAGAACTGGTCCTAGTCCTACACTTCTGTCTAAGGCTCTGGGAAGGAGTTTGGGTGCAGGAGGGATGAGGAGTTGGGTTGGGGAGGGGAGTTTGGTTGCAGTATCAGATGAGGGAGGTGGTGCTTACCTGGGATAGCTCCCATAAGTTACCTGCACCCAACTCTGGCAGTTGCTCCTAGGCAGGGGAGGGGGCAGTGGTCTCCATGTGCTGCTGCCCATAGGCACCATCCCCACAGCTTCCGTTACATGCGTGCGAGCGTGGGGAGGGTGCAGCGCATGGAGACACCACCCCAAACCCAGGGGCTGCAGGAATATGCTTTGGATTCAGAAGCAGCACAGAGCAGGCAGGCAGGAAGACACATTAGCTTTGCTGTGATGGTGGTGGTTGTGGTTGTGGTGGACACTAGATCCTTTTAAATTGCCTAGGTGGACCAAGCAGGGCTGGGGATACACCTGGGGGAGGTGTGAGGGTGGCAGGTGGGACTGAGGGAGAGGGCCAGTCCTGAACTTAGATGCAGCCAGGCCCCCATGCTCTCATATTGGTGGAGCATGGCCACCACAGGCCCATGAAACTCACCACCCCTGCTATCTTGTTCATAGTCTTTCCAAAAGAACAAGAATTCTCCTTCGAGAGGTGCGTCCCAGTGCCTTTGATCAGAGATTTTCTTAGCAGTTCCCCTGCCCTGCCCTCAAGGCAGTGTGCAGGCTCTGCCTGCCTGACAAGCTATCAGTCGATAAATAGCACACACTCAATCCAGGCTTGTCAGTTCCATCTCGACCCTCCCTGGCCAGAGACAGAGTACAGCAGTCATGCTGCCTACCTCAGCAACATAGCTACTGTCTCCAAAATAGCACTCCTCATTAAAACAGCCATTCTGCAGCCTGCCCAAACTATATGGCAGACACCTGCATCCATTGCACCCACAAGCAGGCACATGGACTGGAAATACTTCATTCCCTCTATGGACACCAAATTCCTCTTCACACACCCTGGTCCTATCTTGCTAGTCATGAAAACAGCTAACCAGAACAAGCAACAGCAACAATTCAAGACCACCCCATCCGACAAAGATGATAAAAGGATGGAGGCATTTGGGCATAAAGTATACTCCTTCACCTTGTCCCAAACACAACAGCACCATATATCCACCACATACCTACATGGCATCCAAAACATCTCTTACGCCTTTCCATAAAAATGGTCTTCCTGCTCACAGTCACCTTCTGGGGAGAACTCAGAGCTCTTGTGGCTGACCCTCCAGTTCTTCTTCGAGTAGTGTCCCCGTGGGTGCTCCACTCTAGGTGAAGGGTTGCCCTGAGCCGCAGATCGGAGCTTTGCAAAGCAGTTTCCCCCCCTGTTGAGCCACGCATGCCCAGAGGGCGTCTCGAGCCCTTCCCGCCCTCTGCAGCGCGCGGCTCAACCCCCTCCCTTTCAGTTCCTCTTTAACCGCCCTCGTCAGCGGACGGAGCGAGCAGGAGCTCCCTCACAGTCTCTCAGACTGTAACTTCTATCAGTTATATTACATCGTTTTTTTCCCCCTGTTACTCCAAGTTAGCTTCCCTTGTTTTTCTCTTTAAAATAATAACAACAAAATATTTTTATAAGAAGATCGAAACTGACAGCAAAAATCCCCCCTCGGGGACTAGAACTCACCTCAGACCGGAGCTCCGGGTGAACCCGAGCTCTCTCTTTCCTGGCTCCTCAGCCAGAAAAACACATAAACAATATAAAAGAAAAGGAAAGGACTATAACAAGACTCATAAAAAAAATAATACACTGGAAATAACAAAATATGTCTGCCTCCTCAGGCTTTAAGAAATGCGAGCAGTGCCACGAGCCTATGCCGGCTTCTGACGGCCATGCGAAATGTATTCGCTGCTTGGGGGAAACTCATTCACCCCACAGCTGCACGCACTGTGCTTCCCTCACGGCGAGAGCTAGAAAAGACAGAGAGCTCCGCCTGAGGATGATTTTGTTTGAAAAAGCCCTGCAGCCTGCAGAGCAGGGGGAGCCGCAGCATGAAGCCCCCCTGCTACCGAAACATACAAGCCGCAGAGCCTCACCATCGCGCTCTCTCCCGCCTTCTTCCTCCCCTAAGACCCGGGGAGAGGGGCAAAGAAGTCCGGGGACCCCTGCTAACAAAGCAGAGGGGAAATCCTCGAGTTCAGCACCAAGACCGGTGCGCGCTGCTTCGGAGCCGTCCCGCGAACGCAAGGGGAACCCCGGGCGGAAAGAAAAGCCGGCGCCGCTTCAAGCCCCGGCACCGCAAAAAGCTCCGGCGCCTCTTAAAGGGAAAATCCTCCGCACCGCAGCAGAGCAAATCCCATTCACAGCCGGCTGCGACCGTAGACCAGAGCTCTACACCGGCACCGGTAGCAGACAGCGAGAGGCGTCTTACTGAGCCTCCTACAGAGCGCTCTAAGCCACCGTCTGACACTTATAGCAGACAACAACATTCATGCCTCCCTCCCATTCACTGCTCACCTGGGACATCCTTTGCAAGGCATTCTCCAGCCAGATCTATGTCCCAGTGTCCCTGCAAGACGCTCCCTTGCCAGATGATGACCGCCACACGACATATTCTTCGCGACAAACGTCGCCAAAGGGGTCTCGCTCCTACTATCAGAGGGCTGGACCACAACAAAGCCAGCCCATCCACTCTCCAACTAAACTTCATAGTCACTGCCACACACCATTCTCAGATATCTTTTTCAGCGTTTTAAACTACGTATGTTTAGTTGTAAAGACAAATGAAATACTGTGGGTAAAATGATTAACAGCTGAACATGTTAGCTTTTCAAAGTAGTATATATTGCAGAAAGTTATGTCAGCTTGTGTTCTGTCTCAAGTATAGAATTAAGTAAATTTTGTATAAACAGCACTGCTATATAGTTGTACAAGTTTGTCCAGATGAAATATTTGTACTACAGAATTTTTAGTGTTAGTAACAGATGAAAATTAAAGTAATTCCTATGGGTTTTGTTTCCATTGACTATATTTCTTCACCTTTTTCAATGTTTCCAGACACCAACAGCCAGCAGAGAAGCATGTAATTTCTTGAGGGTCTGAGTGCTTAGCAGCCCCATTGTCCAATGCTCTGACCCCAGCTGTCTGAGAAAACAACCCCACATTGGTCTCAACCAGCTTTGCGAGGTGACTACAACATGCTTCCAGTGCCAGATTTCTCCAAAACCATTGTCCTTAAGTGTTCAGCCCTCTCCTGGAAAACTCAGAAGAAATAAGATTTGTGGCTCCTTTAAAGGGATCCAAAGCAGTTTATTGTTTTACTTGGAACCAACAATCCCTTCAGTTGATACAGCACTGGTGAGATCTAGATTAAAAGTAAAACAAGTTCATTTACAAAAAGAGGTTTTAAGTGAGCTCAAGCAGGGCTGTAACTAAGGCAGGAAAAAAGGGGCAGCTCCTTAGGGCTGCAAACTGGCAAAAATGGGACAGGGCTGGAACATTTCTGGATGCTGCATCCTCTGCAGGGGATCAATATGTTCCCTCAGTGCCTTCAGACAGTGTCTTGTATTAATGTAGATGGAGTAAAAAGGCGAAAAATGTTACATTGCATAATCATAGTCCAGTGTTTAAGGTTTGAATTTCATATACAAACACCCCATTTAAAATCCTTTTAACCTTTTATTGCAAGTAAAGAATAGTAGGGAAAAAGTTACAGCATTTTAAATGTACATCATCCCTTGTTCATTCTCTCTTTCTCTGAAGAGAATTTTTAGAAAGAAAAACTCCTTCGTTTGGCAATTCTTAGGTGGTGGTAGGGTGATAAATGTCCTTTTGGGAAAAGTTGAGATGGACTGGAACAGATGTTGATGCTAAATTCCAATCCCATTTCATCCTAGATGATAGCTCCCACAATTACAAAAACCTTTTATTATTTTAGCATAGGAAAGGAAAGGTGTAATTACAATTTGCAAATGTCTTATCCCAAAATTGGGATTTACATTTTTTTTAACAAATACTTCAAAAATGGCAGATGTTCTTTCAGAAGTTAACAGAGCTTAACAATTTACAGCTCACTTCATCTATAATTAAAACAAAATTTGAAATTGTTGCTATATTGTCCTGCTATACAGAAAGACAGTAGACATTTGATATGGTTTTAATCAGGACACAACTCTATGATTAGATGCTTGGGTCAACCTGGCAGATAACTGTACAGTAATAATAATTAACCAGGAGGCTTCTATCAGCTTCCCCCCCTTCTCCCATTTAGGTCCCCAGCCAGCTCATTGATGGGAACTTACCAACTATGTCTCCCATAAGAGGGTTAAGGAGGGCTATAAGAAATGGTGGTCGGTACCATTCATAAGAGCCTCAACCACTCCTTACACCCCCATCTGTTCCTCTAACCAACACCTCCTTTCTAAGCCCCTTTCCACACTATTTATATGGTCATTATATACCTCGCCTAGACGTCTGCCATGCACTTACATAATTAGTTGTGATATACAGCTAACCCCATCATGCCACACATCAACAAAGCCCTACCTGAACCCTGAATTTTGATTGGTATCCTCTCTAGATACCTGTCCCTCAGCCCAACACACGTTGTGGGAAAAAACTACCTCACTCCACATAGGCCACTCTGGTGATGAGGAAACAATCCCTTCCCAGGCCCCTATAAAGGACTGCAATACCCACACAATGCCTGCTCCTTGTTAAAGGGGTTTCACTGCTCAGGGCCCTTTTTAAGCTACCCTGCCCTTTTGGTTCCCAGGGAAGAAGTCAGTGCCTATGCTGACCACTTCCCCCTGCACCCAGCAGTAAAGCACTATTCCCTTAATTTCAGCCAGCTAACCAAAATCCATTCCTCTTGAAGGTCCAGTGGGGTCATCTAATTGAAAACATTGCTTCTTTGCTTCAGAGTAACTATTTAGGCCCCATGTTGGGATGACAAATATGTTGTTTGGACTAATTAAATCTCTGCCTCACTGTTGCACCTTTTGCCTGTCAAAATTTATTATTGTGATATCTTATGAATTTGCACTAATCTTTTATAATTGAGCTAACAGTTTTCCTTGTTTTCAGGAATCTACTTCTATGATTCATTTGCCTAGTTGTCATTGTTCTTGGGAGAGTAAAATTAGCAAATCTCCCCAGCTAGGTTTTTATTTCTACTGGTGGAGCACATTCAAGTATGCCTTAGTGCACATAACATTTATTCTGCACATGGGTGGAAAAGACTAGAGGGAACATTAGTCACAGGGCAATGAAACTTGAGAATCTCTGATCTAGAAGAGAATAAGGTAAAAAGTAACAGCATAGATTTAACAAGAACAAATTATGTCAAATGAATCTGATAGCTTTCTTTGGTAGACTAACAGGCTTTGAGGATGGGGGAAGTGACAGATAAGGTATATCTTAGCTTTAGTAAGGCTTTTGATACTGTCTCACATGACTGTCTCGTAAACAAACTAGGGAAATACAACCTAGATGAAGCTACTGTAAGGTAGATTCATATGTGACCCTGAACTGGAGAATGGAAGGTGGAAATAGCCACCAGGTGTACTTTGGACAAGGGATGTGATAGACCGTGGTTCTTCAAATAAAGCAGATAATCTAAGACTGATTAGACTGTAGCATCAGAGGGGGAGATGCCTCAATCTGCCACCCAACACAAGAACCTTGCCCATTTAGCCACCTAGCTGACTGGTCGAAGAGATCCTGCTCTCAAGGAGGACTTGGCAGACTCCCTCCAAACATATCTGGTCCTCTGGCTTTAGCCACACAGCACTGTCAGGAGGTGGAGAAATGTGAGATAAGGTGTAGGAGATGCCTGTGATCCCAGGACAGGAGATCTGGCTGGGCCAGCAGTGGCCATAGGGGAGCACCATTAGACTTGACAAGGTCCCAAACAAATATTCCTGGGGCCACTCGTGGGCAATCTTGATGATTGTGTCCTTGTGTCTCTTGATTTTCTGCAGGTCTCTGTTGATGAGTGGCATCAGAGGAAATGCATATAGAAGATCTCCTGCCCAAAACAATAGGAAGGCTTCTGATAAAGAGCCCAGGCCTAGGCCCTGCCTGGTTGTGAACAGACTCATTCAGGGAGCAACCCACTTGCGGGTCACCTCCACATGCAGCATCCACTCATGGTGAGAAGTCTCAGCTCAAGTGATACACGAGAGAGTTCTGTGTTCCTGGGAGGTGACAAGCTTCCAAGTTGCTATTATGTTTGATACAGAAGTCCTATAGTTTCTGGGACTCCCTGCAGAGGGCTAAAGAGCAGGCTTGCCTGCGGATGTAAAACACGGAGGCTGCATTGTTCATGGACTCTGATCAAATTACTTGTTAGATGGAAGCAAAAGGCCATGCAAGCAAGACAAGTGTCATATCTGAAGAAAAAGGGAGGAGGACAGGTAGTGGAGCGTCCACAGGGACACTCAACTTGAAGAATGTCAGTTACTGCACAAATGAGTAACCTCCTCTTCTCTTTCAAGAGATATCCCTGTGGGTGCTCTACTCAGGTGACTATAAGCAATGTTCCTTAGGACAGTAAGGGCTTCAGATCAGGCAGGAAGACTCTGCCCATTCTAATGTCAGCTGTAGTGTCCCGTAGCAGGGAATAGTGTTGTGCAAACATGAAATGTGACACCCATGTGGTTGTTTCGCATATGTCGACAAGGGGAACAGTGCATGGGAAGGCAGTGGTCACAGACAGAACGTTTAGAATGTGCTCTGATGGTCAGGAGGCTGGACTTGTCTGAGCTGGTAGCACAAGCGTATGCAGTCAGCTA